TAGGTAGTGAGTTAAAAAACTTTGGACCCTGGAATCTTACAGAAAATTGTCGGATATTTGTACGACACAATGGAGTTCTAATGGCCATCGCACTCCTTATATTATATGAGTGGACTTGATAATTTGATACAAACATATCATTAAATTTATTTGGTAAAAGACCACTGTGATAAGAGTACATAAATTTACTCAGTTGAAATAGAAGAACATCATTAACTTTAAGGATAGAACAGTTCTTAAATAAAGGTTCTGTATGTGCATCAAATTTATATTTATTTAGAATTCTAATTGCTCGCTTTTGCAGTATATTGATACGATGAAGATTATTTGGATACGTTGAAGCCCAAACAATATTACAATATTGGATATACGGGTAAACAATTGAATAGTACAAAGTGAATAAGGATTTCTTAAGTAGATAAAAACTGGCTCTTAACATTATTCCTATGGATTTAGACATTTTACGTGCTACATACGAAATGTGTGATTTCCAAGATAATTCCTCATTATCCTCTACCCCTAAAAAGACAGTTTCTTTCTCTTGCTCAACATATTCATTATTAATGATTATTTGAAAAGTATAATTATATTTCTTTTGTCTTGGTTTAAATACAATAAATTTTGTTTTTTCTAAGTTTAATGAAAGCTTATTTGATTTAAACCAGTCTGACAATTTTCTAATTTCAATATTCAAAATATTAGTAAATTCTATTGGGTCTTTATTCGAAATAAATAAGTTTGTATCATCCGCAAATAAGATAAGCTCCAATATACTTGACACATGGATTATATCATTGATATATATTAAATATAGCAGCGGACCAAGGATAGAACCTTATGGGACCCCACATTGTATTTTATTAGGACAGGAACAGTAATCATTAAATTGAACGAATTGTGTTCTATTTGAGAAATAACTCTTCATCCAGTCCAAAGCTAATCCACGAATTCCGTAATGGTGAAGCTTATCAAAAAGAATATTATGGTCTAAAGTGTCAAAGGCTTTAGATAAGTCTAAAAATACACCAACTGCAAACTCTTTTTGATCAATTGCTAGTGATATTTTATCATAAAGATCCACCAGGGCTAAAGAAGTGGAATGGTTTTTTCTAAAACCATATTGGTTTTCAGACAAGATACTATTTTTATTTAGGTAATTTAACATCCGGTTATATATAACTCTTTCCAGAAATTTCGAGAAACAAGGAGGAATAGAAATTGGTCTATAATTTGTAAATAGTGTTCTATCACCTGATTTAAACAGGGGAATAACACGAGCAATCTTTATTTCATTTGGCACAATACCATGAGTAATAGGTAAGTTGATAATATGAGTTAGAGGTTTAGCAATTATGTTTATAGTTTGCTTTATTATTAACATGGGAACTTTGTCATATCCATATGTTTTATTTGCTTGAAAACTTTTAGAAATCTCAATAATTCATTTTCTGTTGCCGGGTTAAAAAATATGGAATTAAGATATTGGCCTACAAGAGAATTTAGATGAGAGTTAGGAGTAGATTGTATTCTTTTAGCAAGATTTGGACCTATATTTGAGAAATAGTTACAAAATCTATTAGCAATTTCTATGGGATCAGAAATTTCAAAATTATGATGGGAAATTCAATTTTGACCGCTTCTTATCTATGACTTCATTAAGTGTCTTCCAAGTAGATTTAATGTTTGATTTCTCATTTTCTAATCTCTTTGTGTAATATAATGATTTAACAACTCTCAAAGAGTGGGTCAATTGGTTTTTATACTTTTTATAAGATATCTCATTAGCAAGAGTTGGGTCACTTATATATTATTTATATAGTTTATTTTTCCTTTTTATGGATCTTAGGAAACCTTTTGATAACCAAGGCTTGTCAATCTTGTGATGTTTTATCTTTATTCTTCTTAAAGGAAAACAGTTGTTATAAATTTCTGTATACTTAGCTTAAAAGTTAAAAAGTATTGTAAGAATTATAAGGGTCATCATAGTATTTAAGTTGGGACCAGTTAATACTACCCAATTGCTCAATGAATTTATTTATATTAGTTTTGTTTTTATCTCTGAAAGTAAATTTTTCATTAGTATTATCACAATAATTCATGCCTTCACAGCTAATTGAAAACACAGGCAAGTGATCAGAAATATCTGTAAATAACAGGCCACTTGTAGATATGGACATAGGCGTACCGGGGGGGGGCGGGGGGGGGGCGGTAGCCGGGCAGTCGGGCAATATTCGATCCTTCCGGTACGCCCATGGATATCCTTCCGGTACGCCCATGGATATGGAAGAGAAGTTGTTCGTAAATATGTTATCGATTAATGTTGAAGTATGAGCTGTTATTCTTGTTAGACAAGTTATAAGTGGAATAAACATATTTGAATACATTCCATCTAAAAATTCACAAGTCAAAGAATGACTGTCATAGTTGTTAGGTTAAAATCACTCATTATATAACAGGTTTTATTTTCATTAGAAATTTTTCCTATTATATCATTATTTTTCCTTAGAAAAGAATTGGCATTTTGATTTGGTGGTCGATAAATTATTCCAATAATAATATTTTTACCATATGGTATGCAAACTTCAATAAATAAGGATTCCGCAACATCATCATCATCATTAAAAATTAAATCAGTACGTATTTTAGAGGTAAAGTAATCCGGCAAGTACAAACCACTCACCTCCACCAATTTTATTAACCCTGTGTTTATGAAAAAATTATATCCCTCAATATCAACAGAGTGTTCTGAGTTTGTTAGACAAGTTTCAGTTATCCCAATTACTGAAAATTTAATATTCAGAGTACTTAATAAGTTTGTTAAATTTGATAAATTACTTTCAAGACTGCAGATGTTTAGATGAAATAATGAAAAACTGGAAGCACAGGAAATCCGTGAATTTAACATTTTGTTCAAAACTGATCTTCAACAAAATAATCGCAGTGGTTAACGAAATTATCATAAAAATGTAAATCTGGGTCCAGATCATTAGACAGAAAGGGGCGATGGCCTGCACCCGAAATCAATGGATTATAATTTAAACTGATTAATCTCTCTTGACTGAAATTAATAGGGCCGTTTTTTAACTCAAACATTTCTAAGAAAAATTCAAAGTCGTCAAGACCATGAAAAGGCAAAGCATTCATTGACATTGAAGACTGCATGATAAATAAAATTAATATACATTAATTATTTCGAATTACTTAGCTTCATAAAGAGCTAGGGTGTAAAATTTGCACTGAACAACTCAAACTCCTTCATTGATTTGAATGATACAGCAGCATCAGTATCAGTTTTCTTCACAAAGGACTTGCCATATTTGGTCCAAGCATACTTGAAATTATATTTTCTTTGGAATTCCCTCACTTTATAAAACAGCTCCTTGGCTTTAAGCGTCAAGCTTTCGTTAATATATAATTTATTCACTGATTGCGAAAAACCAACAAAATTTGATGAGTTGAGACCTCTCAGACGACTTTTATTATGGTATACAGCATCTCTGATGTTTCGACTGATAAATTTAGCAATTATTGGAGGCGTAGTACCTTTTCTAGATGGTAAACGATGACTCACTGAGACATCTGAAGGTTGAATGTCGACTGCAATTAACTTACACATTTCAGTAACCAACTCATCAGTATTCTCACTTGGCATTTCGGGTACGCCATGGAATTCCAGGCAATCCCTTCGAGAATATAATTTAAGATCTTCTTGCGCTTCCTCTAACTCAAGTATTTTCGAACTCATTTGATTCATCTCGTACTTTAATTTTTCATTTTCGACTTTTAACTGATTGTTTTCCTCTTCTAATGAGTTTACTGCAGCTAATAGTTCATCGAATTTAGCACCAATAAAATTTTGGCTATTTTGAATGACTAGCATTTCTTCTTGAGACTTTTTATGTTGCTTGCGGACAACATCATTAAGATTCTTTATCTGGGCTTCAATCTTTTTTTCTTGCATGTTGAATCGACTGTCAATAGTGATACTCATTAAAATAGACAGAATATTTTATATTTCAAGTTTATTTTTCATGCATAAAGGATTACCAAATATATATTTGCAAGGATATTTCAGATTTTGTGGACATTGAGATTTTTTACTTTAATGGCTTTCCTTCAAAGAATAAGAGAATTTTGGAAGGAATCTCCCCGTCGAGCGCATGAGCTCCGCTTCCGAAATTCCCACGCCTGTTTATCTGTTTCATTGTTAAAGCCATTTCACTCGAATATTGCGAAGGCGAATTGGTCATTAACGTACGTACATATCTTTTTTGCCACTTAGCACAACCAGCTAAAGAATTTCTCATCTACAACAAAGATCATAACAAGTGCATCTCAATTGAAAATGAAAGAATCGCCGCAAGATCGTGCAACCCGATGACAGATAATCAAAGATGGCTGTGGACACAATATGACCAACTTCAAAGTATTTTCAATCAAACATGTCTCAGCGTTCGTGAAACACCAGTAAACTGGGTCCGTGTGAAATTGTCCACGTGTGATCGCCATGACACATATCAAGTGTGGGCTTGCGTAGATGACTTGGTCAGGTTGAAGGGCACAGTGTTAAACTTGAATTACGGAAATGACCATGGAGGAGACAATGTTGTGTTGTACAATGGGGATGGGTCCTGGTGTATGTGGAAGGTCTATGGAGAAGACGTGCGTGTGTGTGAAAAACGGCCCCAAGGTATATTGACGATAAGTAGAGATGTCATGTGTTGCACCATTTCATTATTGCAAGGGACGAGTTTTTGGGAATGTGCGCATGCTTTTAACCCTTGCGTCCCTGGTCTGGGTCCTGCAATTACTCAATGTAATTGACTTTGTTATAGTTTTGTCTTAGTCATATGTTGGAAGAGTGTCTGACTCTGCCAAAAGCCGCAGCATTTCTCCAGGTAATCCAGTTCTCATTTCTAGTTAAACCTGAGTAGTCGAAATTGACCCTTACGAGAACTAAATGCGAACACAGTAGATCTGATAGCCATGGGATGAAAAATTAAGTACCCACTAAATTGGTATTAGTTGCAAATTTGGTGCAAACAGTACCGTAGATTAAATTCGCAACCACGGCGAATCAATCTTTACAATTAAACGTCCAAGTTTCATAGTATTACAATATTGGAACTAACACGGGCTGAAAAAGTTAGTTTGCGCTTTTGTAAGTTTGAAACCAAACCTATGACAAACTTCGAATTTGTATGGGTTTGTAAACTTGTAGTGAATTATATAGCGAAATTCCTTTGCCAAGATGATGAACGACTCGAAACCATACAGCCTAAACCTAACTTACAGATACGGTGAATCAGGGGTGGGGGTTATATTCCCCTTCCGAGGTAGAGGTGGGGGTTAATCCCCCCAAAACAAACCCGATTAGTGTAAGATCGCAATTTGAAGATTCTTTGTCGCCGCCTAAAAGGCAAAGAGAAAAAAATACAAATATTATGGTGAATGAAATATTCATTAAGTGAATTTAAACTGGAGGACTTCAGCACCCATAACAATTTTTACGACGGGGTTAAGCTACCTGTGAAAATAAGTCAAGTCGTGTATCGCACGTATTGTAAAAGCTCACTCACACTCAATGAGTGGAAGTTCAATCTGAGCTTCTCTCGAGTGTCATCGCTGTTTTTGAATAGCTGGAGTGTTAGTGTCATACCTTACTATGTGACTACCCATCCTCAAGCTATTAAAAAAACAAAACATGAGATTATTCCATCGTCAGGTTCTTCAACTTTGCTCATTCGTGGACGATTTTAGTCCCCACTAAGTTACCAAAACTGATCAAAAACTCGATTCAAGCAAATTTTGGCTGCATTGTTGCATTCCAAATTCTTATACTCGGTGCCAGAAAATGTAGGAAATGGCATTCCCCCCCCCCCTCCCACTAATTTTCAGCCCAACTAACTCCTGCGCATCGGAAAGCTAGTGTTACAGCTGGATCATATTTTGCTTACAGCCTCGTCTCCAGTCTTCAGCTCGGATACGCGGGTTCCTTCGCAAGTAGTGGATGGCTTTGGACATTTCTCACGAAACGGCGCAGCAAATCAAGGCGACTGGGGACGAGGCTGTTTTGCGTATATGTTTGCAATTAGCTGAAAACTACAGTCGCCATCCAACTAAGCTGAAATTACCCCCCACCCTCGAAAGAACCTTTCGACCGTCAATGAATTTACAGCCAATCATTAATGCAAGAAGTCGGTAGTTTTCAGAAGTGTTAATAAAATATTCGATCAAAACTTGTCGTTTCCTTGACGCCCACGCGAGATACTGACGAGTTTTTGTTCTTGTTTTGCATGTGATCTAATTAAAATAATAGCATGCAAATTGGTTAAATAATTAGAGATAAATAGTAATCCGGTATCGAGTACCTGGGGCCTAAAATTACTAGAATTCAAACGCCATCTTTCTAGAGTGACAACCAATGGCATTCAACCCTCAGATTACAATGAACCAAATTAAAACTTCTTCTCAGGAAAAATTTTGCTTATGTAGGTACTACCGCTCATTAAAAGTTGCGAATGATTGGTTTTGAATTTTTGTCATGAGTTATTTTAATAACTCATTAAAATGAGTTTTGCAAATTCATTATACAAATTAAAACAGCTACTTATGAACATTTAAATAAACCACATTAATGTATTAAAACATAGTAATTTAGCTACAATTTATCGTCCTATAATAATATCTTTTACATGCAAATGTTCTTATATTTGCTGGATAGTGCTGCCAATTGTTTTAAATTTGCGGCTGAGTTTGGAGGCCATCGTTTTCCAGCTGTTCAAAGAGTAAAATGCCATCCAATTGGAAGTCACCATACCTACGAGACTGCACGAGTAGCTATATGGTTCTATTTGCAAAGCAATTTGTTGTTACTACCTCATTTTATCTATGTAGCCCCCACTCACTTTTATTCAATTAGCCCTCACACTCAAATGATAAAATCAATCTCAACTTCGGTGTTGTTGAGCACTCTGTGGAGTTGTTAATGGGTGTCTATTAGCGATAATGCAAAACTCACTTCCCTTGTGGTCGTTTGAGCACTCTGGCCCCATTACGCTGTGCGCATGTCTGGATGCGTTGAGACACCGTGTTGTACCACATGCGAGAGCAAGTTCATGGGGTATAAATACGAGTGTCTCACGTATCTAGACGTGTTCCAAGGTGCACTGACGAGGCGTTGAACGCCGAAACATGCATGTCTGCAGATTGTACTATATATATATATATATATATATATATATATATATATATATATATATATATA